GATTGCTTGCTCGATTCGGTCTTGCAATCGGATTGCTGCTTTCTTTCTACTTTTGGGCTATTGTTAATAGCCGCATCATTTACTATTTCTCGGAAGATGTTTCTTTCTTCAATAAATAGTTCTTCTAATTTTTTTAACTTTTCGTCAAGAATTGACTCAAATTTAGCTTTTTTTGAGCTTGGAATTTTAAAAAGGTTGAGAGCAGCATACTGAGGCAATTTGCTTTCAATTTTGTTGCTCAGAATTGTTTTTATTGTTAGTATTAAATCACTAACCTTGTCCTTTTTAGAGTTTCCAGAACTGTTTGGCTTTATTTTATCATCTTTTTCTAGATTTAACGCATCTAGATCGCTGGTAAGTATTTTTTTTGCTATTCTAATATCTTCACAATTGTAGAAATCCATTATTTCGTAAATGAATTCCGCATCGTCAATTTTGTCAGAATTATTAAATAAATAACACAATAACTCGTTAATGCAAACCGCTCGCGACATCGTACGTACGTATGTATGTATGTATGTATGTATGTATGTATGTATGTATGTATGTATGTACGTATGTACGTATGTATTAAAATGGGTGCGTGCGTGTGTGCGTGTTTATTGTGTATATTTGTATGTTATGTATGTTTGTAGTTTTGTTTGCTTGTTTATCTGTTTTTCGTTCGTTCGATCGTTCGTTCATATTTGAAAGAGAACAAGAACTGCAATAGGAGAGCATGTCGTTCGGACAATTGAAACTCAAAATTACAATTTTAAAGACAATAAAGCACGAGAAGAAGAGAGAGAAATAATAAAGGAAAGAGAGAGAGAGAGAAAAAGAGGGAGAAAAAGAGAGAAAAAGGAGAGAGAGGAGAGGGAGAGAGAAAGAAAGAGAGAAGGAGAGAGAGAAAGAGAGAGAGAGAGAGAAAGAAAGTGAAGAAATAAAGGGAAAGAGAACAAAAAGAAAGAGAGAACACGAAAAAATGAAAGAATAAAAAGACGAAAAACATGATAAAAAGAAGAGAGAGAGAGTGGAAAAATAAGTGCTAGTAAAATTTTGTTTTATCTAAATTTTTATTTTCACTAGAGAAATTAAAAAAAAAATAGAAAAGCACAAATGGTGTCCGTAATTTTTCATTTTTTCAAAAGCAAGCACACACACGCACACCCTCAAGCAAACACAATACACACACACAAACATAAATACAC